TATGTCATGGTTTAGTAGAGTGATAATAACCCGTTGCAGGTAAAAGCCATGTTAAAACCAATAGCTTTAGCACTCAAGCTAGCTCTCTTGCTGTAGCTGTGTGCAGTCACAAGTGCATTTTAAATTGGCCATATAATGCATAAATAGCCTAAAATATGCACATGAATGCCCATATCCTCCCTAGCTCCTTGTATGCTCTCATTGTATTGTGCTATAAAGCAAGATGACCTGATGTAAAGTTGTTCAAGGTAAAGGACGGCTAATCCCTTATTTTGGTCCACGCTGCCTGTAACCTAATTTAGCTTCTGGCCCTCGTACAGCGATCACATTTTCACCGAGGAGCGAGAGACTTAATTCAAGATGTAGTGCACTTTCTACTTCTACCGTGCGTCAGAAACTTGCAGCACATTTTGTCTCTAGAGACGTATAAAATACCTAGTTTGGAAAACCATGGCAACGATGACAATGTGCCTCACTAAAAGGCCGCAGGTTCAGGAGAACAGTTGCGAAAGAAAAGCATTTTTCTCCCCTGAAATGACCACATGATTGCCATAATCGACGGCTTTCAAACAAGAAAGGGACTGAGGGACGTGGCGAAGCCGGTGTTTAAGGCGAGGCGGATGATTACAAACGGTTTGAACCCTGAATAAGTGCGCAAAGATGCATGTGAGGTGAACTGAACCTAAGGGAAAACAATCAAATGTTCTGTATGAGTCATCGCTCATCCTGTCTCTCCTTCAGCCCACAATGATCCGCTGAACACACGTGGTGGTGAATCATTCTGTGATTGCTCTCCGTCTTTCATATTCCACGATATGAATGTCTGAATTACACGAAGAAATCTGCGGTCCAGGACACGTCGTTGAATCTTTAAATCAAGTATCAGTGCAGAACTTAGGGGGTCTTAACGAGGTCACAACATCTTGATAGACACTTAAAAGTCTACACGCCATCCATTTGTTTTCTCAAGGCTGTCCTCAAGTTACCTTTTGCACTTGTTAGAGTGATGGACCCCATTGTTGCTTCAGGTTACAACGACAACAGGCCTTATCTTTCTCATTTCGAGCCAATTTAACCGGCTTAATTGACAACTGTTGCTTTTCTTTCATTTAAGCAAACTGTACAGTTCGATTTAAACATAACAACATATTGATTTGACTATCCTTTTTACTTTCCTAACCTTCACAAAGTAAATGGATTTAATTGGCTGATTTTGGAAGACAACCAATGTTGATCCCTTCTGGTTTTGTCCGTCTAAAACCATGAGATATTCAATAATATGATATAGAACTTGAAGCAGAGATTTAACGGTAAATTGATGATTAAAATAGTTTTTATATATAGTGTTTTAGTCAATTGAATAAGCAATCAATCTAATAATCATTGCAGCTGTAATTTTAACGCTATCATTCACATTTGATTGTCCAGCTCTCATTACATTCAGTTAAAATCTGATTGAACTGGGATGCTTAAATTCCCTTGTGTGTCACACAGACTTTGAATGTATCCGTACCTTGTGTTGTTTAGGAGAAACACACGTGGGCTTTGTGAATCCTCTGCATGTATTTCCATTAGTCTTAATGCAGCGTACCGAACAGGAAGTGATGAGTTTGGAGGAGTCGCTCGCCTCACACATAAGACGGGAGCATTAAGCGTGACCTGTTGAAAAGTTGGCACAGGTGCACCGTCTTTCCTGCCAAAGTCTTTAGCTCTTCCATTACGTAATGAAATTCCCCAATAATCCCTCATTGCAATCTAACTACCCTACAATTAAGGGCCCTAGCCTTTGGCCTGACAGTGCCTACATTTAAACTCTGCACACACTCCTCTCCGCTGCACAGCTGCCAAGTGAGCACCGAGAGGAAGTGGAGATGTTATCCAGAGGACAGGAATACACCGGCTGTTACACAAGGCCAACGCTAGGGTGATAGTGCGGGAGAAAATCAGGGAAAAGGGTTTAATCTGATGTTTTTATGCAGCTTTGGTTTGTCCTAAAGTGTGTACTTCACACCAGGGTGGTTATGATGAACTGAAACAACAAAACTAGTCAAAAAAATAGACTTATGATTTGATTTCTTAGTTCTATCGTATCACTTATGAGACGGCATGAATGCCCGCCAACTTTTGTGACATTGAGCGACAGAAATTCAACACGTGTTTTCAAATTGCATGTGTGACACTGAAAGCAGTGATTTTAATGTTAAAGGATATCATACTGTAGCTTTCCTTTCTTTGCAGAAGCCTTAAGAGAAAAGAAACAATTAAGCATCTTCTAAAGCAGCCGTCCTCTCCTTTTTAGAGGCTGCTTCCTCCCTGCTCCCATCCTTAATACGTGTCAACACTTTGATATGCGACTGATTTGGAAACGTGACAAAAATCACAATAAACCAATGACACAAAGTATCATCTTTTTCTATTAAGCTATGATTGAATCTGCAGCTGAACAACAACAGATAAAGAACAACAAACGTGCCGTCTCAGACCCAAAAACAGTTGTCCTCTTTCTGAGTCGCAGGCCTCAGCGGGCGGCCGATGATAGTCCGCTGTTTGAACATGAATAAATGAGAAAGCAAGCAGCTTCAGAGTTGCAGCTCTGTTTTTCATCAGCGTGTGATGCAACACTTTTCAGTTAATCTGACTCGGCCTGGTTCCTGCCGACAGGGGAGCTCACCTCTGACCCAGAAGTGTGGTTTAAACAAAAATACACTCAAATATCCTCCCACACACACACACACACACACATGGAGGCAACATTTAGTTTTTGGATTTAAGCCGTCGGTCTAATCAAAAAGTGCTAGAAAGACTCGCACACAGACGTCTGCATGTTATATCAGAGATGACAGGGTTCAATCTGCATTTTGGATGTTTCTGTGTTACAAATGAACATGTGAAATTCTATTTTTTTAAGCTAACTTCATGTCTTTCGTCTCTTTCTGTCTCTCAGATGCTTATCCGGTGTCCGAGGTGGTCTACACGTGGACTGAGGGAGCGTCTATGTCTGTGGTTGTAGCTGATGGCGGATCCAGACTCAACCAGTATCATCTCCTCGGGCAAATCGCCGGCACAGAGAACATACACACAAGCAGAGGTGGGTGGTGTGTGTGTGTGTGTGTGTGTGTGTGTGTGTGTGTGTGTGTGTGTGTGTGTGTGTGTGTGTGTGTGTGTGTGTGTGTGTGTGTGTGTGTGTGTGTGTGTGTGTGTGTGTGTGTGTGTGTGTGTGTGTGTGTGTGTGTGTGTGTGTGTGTGTGTGTGTGTGTGTGTGTGTGTGTGTGTGTGTGTGTGTGTGTGTGTGTGTGTGTGTGTGTGTGTGTGTGTGTGTGTGTGTGTGTATAGATAAGAAGATCCATCTGTATGCACATGGTTATGTGATAGTGGTTAAACTCACAATATGTCATTTTTCTTCCACTAGAGGTCTCGCAATCAAAACAAAAAGAGTTTAGGTGATGTGAAGCCGTGTGGGATCTTGGGAGTTTGTCATTGAGCTTCAAACCAAATCGATTTAAAACGATAAAAACACAGAAGAAAGCGTTAACATTTACTAATCAGTGTTTGTGCCGTACGTCCAATGACCAAACATCTCCAATTTCTTCATTTGGTTGAAATATATAGTTACAAAATGACCAATATCCTAAAGTGTCTCTGGCAGCATATAAGGACAACATTACGGGACACTAAATTAAACGGACCATTAATTTGATAAAATATAACAGAACAAATCTTACATTTTTGCTTAAATGTTACATATTATATGTTTAAGCTATCCAGTTAAGGTAGCAGGATAAATCAAAGTGAGTTATCAAAGTTATCCCAAAAGATGGACATGGTTTAATCAAAGAGAAAGAAATAGGTAACATGGTCAAGACTTCATGTAGTATATCGTTATATATTACATCAGTAGTAGTTTTTATTATATGGAATAAAGTTTCAGGTGGACTAATATTATATCCTGGGTTTATTTGATTACCTACGCCAAGGGGCGGTTTTGTTTTCAGCTCGCTCTGTTTGCTAGTGTCTGTGAGACGGGTTAAATAAACACTACTTGCCCACATTTAATGAAACTGGGTGGATTTTGATTAATTTATACACATTTTTACTCGGTGCTCTGCAAATCTGCATTCCTTTGCCACATCGAGCTCCTTTGCTGCATCCCTTCTGCGGGACAAATGATTTAAAGATGAAACTTAGAGATATTTCAGAATTTTTGGAGTTTATTTTTGTGCATGTTACATTTTTTTATTATTTCTTCAAGTAGATTAGGGGTCTCAATCCGGCCCGCGACTTGATTTCATGTGGCCCTGCAAGAGCTTGCAAAGAATATAATAAGTTTATTATACGGTTACATGCCACTTTACAGAAGCAGGTTGTCCATAAACTACATGTCCCACAATGCATCTCGTTTTGTGACATGCACACTGAAGAGACTTGCAATTATTTGCCCTGGACTTCTGCTTTCAGACGTAGTTAATTACTAAGTTATTACCCTATCCGATAATAATCCAATTCAGAGGCAATAATGTGAATATAATACATTATTTTATATATTTATTATATATTTATATAGTTACAACCCTTTGAGTGCAACCTTTATGCGGATGTGGCCCGCAATGAAATTGAGACACCCCTGAAGTAGATAGTCATAACAATGGGTAATACATACATCAAATAAAAAACAGCACCCAGTTGGTCTGCCTTTATAAAATGAGTTAGTGTTTTGTAGTGTGTACACTTAGCATACATTATTACACATGCATTCCTCCTGAATAATTCAAGTAGACGATGCTGCTCCAGAGTTGGACACAAAACGATGGGAAGTGCATTTCTGTGCAATGGGAGTTGTGACATTAAAACCGTCAGAGCATTCTTTTTTTGTGAACTCAGAGTATCTTGATGTTTTGAAGTTTCTTTTACATCTACTCAGGGGTTTCATGTACCTTGGATTGAGTGCCATCATCAAGGGAAACAAAGTAAAACAGTAATGAGAGGGACATTATATTCTTAAACCAGATCCATAATACCACATTTCTCTCCTTTTTTGATTTCCCCGCTCATCAATCACCCTCTTTTTTCTTGCCCACCTTTGTCCCTAACCATACTGTATGTGATGCATGATAAGTGTAAAACCCCGAATAACGTGATGTAACTAATTCTAGATTAGAAAAAGATAAACGCAGCGAGGGGGAGATGGCCGTGCGAGGCCCAGAGTAAATGTGGGAAACATTATCAGGAGATCAGAGTCAATGAGTGGAGGCTAGTGGAGGAGAGTAGCCTATCCCTCACACAACCAGCTGTCTACAGGCCCGGACAGCCCTGTCCAACAACACTTATCCCTGCATGAGCCCGAGCACACACACACACACACACACACACACACACACACACACACACACTCACACACTCACACACACACACACACAAACACACACACACACACACACACACACTCACACACTCACACACTCACACACACAGAGCTAGAGAGAGACCTGAGAGCTAGGGTTAATCCCCCCATCCAACCACCCATCAGCTTTTGCATAAGAAGATGACATCACAGATCAGTGAGGGATTGGTTGGCTGTCGCTGAGTGTATCTGTGTGTTAGTGCTCTTGTACATTTATCCTCACGTGCACCGAATGACCCGGCAATAATGGTAAAAAAAAAAATCCTAAAGGTCGGGACATGTTCATGACTTCTAATGTAGGTCTATTTGGGTTTGGATATAGTTAAAAACGTGAAATAAGTTACATTTCAGTGGACTTAACATGTAAGCTAGGGCCTCACAAAGACAGGAAAATAAACCTGTGTGTGTATGTTGGGATTGGACGGCCTCGCTCTGACGCTTGAGTAAAGGAGGGGGGGGGGGGGGGTGAGTGGGGGTTGGGGCGTTGAAAGGCATCTGCTTAATACTCTTATGTAAAACGGAACTGTAATACACTTCCCTCCAGTCTCTAGTAGAATCATTATTAAAAGTGTGGATTTCCCCTGGCTTTTTTATTTATTTGCGCGACACATGTGGAACCTGCTTTTGCTTTTAAGCAAAGGGTAAACAGGTTCGCTGTCTGCATGGATGCAGGGCTGAAATGTGGATAAGTTAGTTGAATATTTGATAGAAGATAGAATAAAAAGCTGCTTATCTGGCTAGCAAGTGTCTTATCATACCCATACATTAAATTAACAACACTAGAGAATACCTTAATATCTTTGCACGCAACATGTATAAAAGTCAAAGATAAATATACTAAAAGAAATGTACATGTGCATATTTAAAACATATCATTTACTATCAATACTTTTAGGGGAAGTGCATCAATAATATACTTTAGATTCAAGCTGCATTTTTTGTAAACAAACCAACCTATTCATTTAAACATGCATTGTACCCCGAAATGCATTGTGTTTGCACTCGAGGCCTCCATGAAGCACGTGCAAATGCAATTCTCACTATATTTTAAATCATGCAAGCAAGCTAGCCATGTTTTGTCGTCAATTGTTGACCAAATAATGCATCAAAAGTTCCCAATTCTTAAGCATAATTTGACCAGTTTTGGCCTCTATGGTTTAAAGCCACCAACTACTACTTCCTTTTTTACGAGTGATGGAGCAAAGATTTAGGATAGACAACATGTCTTCATTGAAATGTCCTTTAATCTTTCTGTAGAAAAGCACCTTTTACTTCCACATTTAATCAATAGTCCAGATCCTTGTACAGGAATGTATACATCTTACAGTGTTTCTCCGCCTCTAAATAATCAAACCGCCGTCTGGTGTTCTGATTATTAGAAGAAATGCGAAACATTATCTGTGAATTCCTTTTAGCCAAAGGACTAAAGGCGGTAAATCATCATTCATGCTGCTCCGAGCTGTCTGGAGAGCGTCCAAATCAGAGGAGGGAGTGCTGATGAGATTTAGCTCAGGGGTCACGTTCAGACCAGTAGGTTAATTTACTTTCTCTTTGCGTTTCACTCTCTTGCTCAGAACTTCCACAGAGCAAATATGACACTCTTAGCAACATGCTAACATGCTATAAATGGAATAAAACCAGCTTGGATTCAACTGAAAAGTGTTACTGGAGGTGGAAATCACAGATGTGTGAAAACAGCCGGCATGTTTTCACAATCTGAAGCTATTTTTGCAACTTGAGCATCAACTTCTTACAGTTTTTTGTAATGCATGCACCTGCTACAAGATGTTCTGATGCTTTTGTACAGATGCATTTTCAAGAAGGTCTGGCAATGGTCATTAAACGTCTCAAATGCTGCAGTCTGTTGCTCTGATTAAAGTCACATGGAGTTAACTATTGTTCCCTCACCTGATTAAAATAAGTCTGGAAGCCCCCCTGCTGTTCATTTAGTCTAGACAAAGTAATGAAGCACTTGTAAACCTGACATTCAAAACAGGCAGTCAGTTAAAGCTCGCCTGGCCTTCCTCGTGTTGAGCTGTTCCTCTGCTCGCTCTAATTGCAAGGCCTTGATAAGATAGTCTGTTTATTTATTCCTGGATAATAAACGTACATCTTGAGACCTTCGTGTGTAGCTCAAAATATTGTTTGCATGTGCAGTTTAGAGCCTTTAATTAGCAGGTCTAATCTTAGACGACACTCCCGTTTGAGGACATGAAGAGATTATCACACAGGTTTCTCTTTAAAGACATCTTTAGGGATATGACTTCTGCTCTCTCACACACCAATAGCCTCCTTAAAATAACTCCCGGCTCCAAAGTGGATAAGACGTGCTATAGTGCGGTTTGTCGGGGCTTTAAAGAGTATATGCTGTGGATTATTTTAGCTCATTTCCTAGAGGATTATCGCTAGTTTGGACCTCTCGGGTTTACCCTTCAGGGCAAAAATGCTGCTCTAAAAAACTCACCAGTTGACCAGCATGGCAGCATCGTTCCCCGCGATGAAAGGAAGTTCCCCTCGGACGTGTGGAAATACAAATCCTTGGGAGAAAAGCAGTAAGATCCACCAGAGGAACATGTTCCTCCTCATTCCTCTGCCCCCAGTCCTGTCGGGATCCATGCATCAAGGGCGAAGGTGACCCCGGGGTGTCCCAGGTCGGCAGCGCCTGGACGTGTCTGGATGTTTCCGGCGATAGGAGAGGTTGACACTGTGATCCAGACAGCCTGGAGTCATGAGGGCGTCAGAGGGCCCAGGTGATGGGGTCTCACTCAGAACTACCGGTGTTTGGGACCTCCTGACTGCGGCATGGCTGGGATAAGCTTTGCAGATATTTACCTCTCGTTTTAGTTTAAGCCTCGGTGCATTTTCTGAGTTCTTCTACCCCCATCAAGAATCACCATTATTCCACAGACAGCTGTCAAACAACAAAAAGTATTTAAATAAAATGTCCACACTCGGTTAGCCCCCCTCCATCCCACCAGTGATTAGCAGCGGCGAGTGTCCCTCTCCGTGGCTCTCAGTGTGTGTGTGTGTGTGTGTGTGATTTGTGTGTGTGTGTCAGCAGTTGGAAATCATGCTTCATGTGTGTCTCAGTGTGTGTGCGTGCGTGTGTGTGTGTGCGTGTTGCTGCCGGGATTGGGAGGGCGTGGCTAAGGGCTCTATGAGGATCCCGGGACAGGAAGCCTCACCCCTCCTCCCCCCCCTCTCTCTCTTTCTCTCACTGATGGCAGGATGCAGATTGTAACCAGGGATTAGGGAGGTTCAAAAATCCGATTTTGCCTGGAGAAAGCTGTGTGTGTGTGTGTGTGTGTGTGTGTGTGTGTGTGTGTGTGTGTGTGTGTGTGTGTGTGTGTGTGTGTGTGTGTGTGTGTGTGTGTGTGTGTGTGTGTGTGTGTGTGTGTGTGTGTGTGTGTGTGTGTGTGTGTGTGTGTGTGTGTGTGTGTGTGTGTGTGTGTGTGTGTGTGTGTGTGGAATATAGTCGTTGGGTTTTTTTCATAGTGCAGTAGCGCCTGCGGTCACAAACTGCTGCTGGCGAGAGGAATTTTTTTTTTAAAGCCTCAAATGCAATCTTCACTTGTTTAACTGAATATTGTCCTCCCTCCCTCCCTTGCCTCTTTTTCTATCTCTCTACACTTTCTCTGGATTTACCTCCATTGTCAAATCCCGAACATTAACTGAATAATAATCTACTGTCAAGTCCTCGCAATAATTAACGTATTTCTTTTGCGCAATAATGGATTTGAAGCCTGAATATGAAATGTTCTCTTTCACCCATCTTTTATTCACTTTACCACCTCCGCATGGTTCCCTATTCTTGCCGTTTGCACCAATTATTACATAATGAAATAGCAGGCAGGGGGAGGGACACATTAGTTGGGCGATAAGATGTTATGGCCACTTTTAAAGCTGTCAAATCTGTGGTCATGAAAGGAGATTTAGCCTGTAATGATTATGATGTCATGTGTGTTAACCTGACACCTGTGGTGCTGTAAGGAGGTCAAATCACATATTAATAATTCCTCAAACAACATTTACCCTGCCGTCTTGTTTATTGTCCCCATCTAACCTCATGTCCTTGTTATTTCCTCGCCTCCCCTCAGGACAGTACACAGTGATGATGGTCCACTTCTTCCTGAGTCGGAAAATTGGATATTTTGTCATCCAGACGTACATGCCGTGTTTCATGACCGTAATCCTGTCCCAGGTGTCATTCTGGCTCAACAGAGAATCAGTTCCTGCCAGGACTGTCTTCGGTGAGTGACTGATTTACTAATTTGTTTGGTAACGTTTAATGTGTCCCTGATATATTCACATGAGGGAGGATAATTGTCCGCCACTGAGCAGCAGTAGGTGGCAGTTAAGAGTTATTAAAGCGCCCACCTCTGAGTGAAACTGAATATTAAACCTGTCATTACTTGTGTTTGCACCCAGGGGTGACCACAGTGCTGACGATGACCACCCTCAGCATCAGCGCCAGGAACTCTCTCCCTAAAGTCGCCTACGCCACCGCCATGGACTGGTTCATCGCCGTGTGCTACGCCTTCGTCTTCTCCGCCCTCATCGAGTTCGCCACGGTCAACTACTTCACCAAGAGGAGCTGGGCCTGGGACGGCAAGAAGGCTCTGGAAGCTCAGCACCCTAAGGTACAGCTTCAGGGTGTAACGTGAGATATTTAGGTGCACAAGGCCATTCAAAAGTCTTCTACCAGAACACAATCAAAAGTCAACTTCATACTGTCTAAAAAGGCTTTCTTTATACATTTTCTGAAACATAAAAATGTTCTTACAGCCCTTTAATATTCAACTATAATATGTCTTTATAGGTGTCAGAACTCCTGCTATGCTGTTCTGTTAGAGCAGAGAGGCTGTCATTAAACATAAACCTGCAATCAGTTTGAATCAAAATCAGACGGCTACCTGGGTGAAATTCAATCACACAGCACCCCCGCTTTTAACCAAAAGGTTTCCCATCTGTGAAATCACTACAGACAGAATGAAACACATTGATTATCCCACCACTGTGTCAATTCACCCCTCCCCGAAGTGACTGTTATTTTGTATATATAGGATATACATATTTTTATAAATATTTGTTGTTGTATTCGGGATTGTGGGAAACGGTATTTCGATCTCTCTGTACACACAAACTGAAAGGTTGACTTTGACTTGTGTCTTGTCCCGCTGCAGAAACGAGACCCCATGGTTCTCTCCAAGAAGCCCAATAACATCTGTTCAGCGGGGCTCAACTACACCCCAAACCTCACCAAGGACGTGTCCATCTCCACCATCTCCAACACCACGTCGGTGCAGCTCCGCGCCTCCGAGATCAAGATGGTGGACCCCAAGAAGACGTACAACAGCGTGAGCAAGATCGACAAGATGTCTCGGATAGTGTTTCCCGTCCTCTTTGGAACCTTCAACCTGGTGTACTGGGCCACGTACCTCAACAGAGAATCGGTGACGGGCACGACGTCAACGTAATCTCTTTTTGTGTGTGTGTGTGTGTGTGTGTGTGTGTAAGGGATTAAGTTTGAGAGTGGGTGGACTAAAAAAAAAAGGGGACAAAAGTAATAGAATAAAAAACAAATGTGTGCGCTTGAAGAACAAAAACTATACTCAACTATCTTATTCAAGCACTCTGATTGGACGCAAGGCTGCAACTGAATCCCTTTCCGTTTTCTCTTATTTCATGGCCTAAAAAAAACTGCTTGATCACAAAGAAACTGCTCCTAAGACTTCGAGAGAGCGACTGCCTCGCTTCTCTTTGCATGACGCCCCCTCAAAAGGAAACCATGGACTTGTCTTGAATACCGACCATGTATATGTCAATCACCGCTCAAAGGACTCTTCATGGAGGTTTTAAAGGAAACTAACGCAGCAGTTTTTCAACATATTCTGACTGTGGAGGCTTGAAATGCACTGAGTATGCTTTGGAGAAGAAAACCCCATGCATTTGAATCTGAACACTGAAACAGCTCTTGAGATGAATGCTGCCGGTGCATTAATAATTTAGTTTTAAGTCTCTTTTTTTCTTTACAAACCTTTGACATTTTTTCTCCTATTGCAGTAGGTGCTTGTGTGTGTCTTTGTAGATCTTTACTTGAAGATTCAAAGCCTCCTGCTGCAGGTCTGCTTTCCTGAAATAGTTGGCAGCTGGAGTCCCAGTGGAAAAAAAACGGAGAAAGAATCGAATGCTACCTGAAGGTGATAAAAAAAAATGTATTTGAAATATAACATCGCAGGGGTTTTTAAATGACTTCTTCATTCATAAATAATTTTGCAGGGCAGCGTGCCAACAAGAGTTTAAGAGAAACTTCTTTGGCCCACTTCCTGTGGACGGTGTGTTCAGGGCACATTTAGGATTGGATATTTGTGCTTTAACTGAGTTTTGAGCGTGGGTCACTCAGCTAGGAAACTAATATTCACAGTTGAGAGACCAGTGCTCGAATCGCAGAGTGTGTCACATTCAAATCAGCCGAGGGAGAGTTTGGAGACTCGTTTCGTGAGATGACCTGGATGCAAACCCTTATTTACGCGTGCATCTGGCTGATGCTTCGGCAAAATGACTGCAAGCTCCAGGGGCGGGAGTCTAGTTTCGACTTCGCACAGAGCAAACTTATAGTGAGTTTTCAATATGAGGTGTAAATGATTACATTACAAATACAGAAATAAGTATCTCATACAACCACACTTCAAAATATCCGAACTATCCCTTTAAGAAGGACATGTTTGCCATGATTTCTGGGTAAAAAGACATTTACCTGGACCTCCATGTGTGGTAAAAAAAAGAAAAAAGAATATCGATGGAGTATCATCATCATACAATTGTTATGCTTTCTACTGCTCACATATGTCAGAAAACACAAAGAGATTTGCTAAACTTTGCAGCTACGATATCTGAGTTTCTTGTATTTTCTCTAAATAGATTTGAAGCCTTTTTTGCTGATTTAAAAGAGGGTGTGATCATGATTCGAACTACAGGATGTGGGGGATTTCATCTGAGGGAATCATGTAAATAAGCCTTTAATTTTCCACTTTGCTTTAATGCAAAAAAGACAATGTTAGATTCTTGAGTTTGCAAGAAAAGAAAAAAAATGCAATTTCTGAAGTTGTTTCCGTCTGATATCTTTCTTAATGTTGGCGTGTCTGAGATTGTTTTCTTCTTGTTGCTTGTAGAGGAGCTCACATCTGTTCCAACTCTGCTTTTGATCTTTGAAACCTTCATTTTTCTACATTTAAAGGAAGCACACATTACGGCATTTTGGCTCGAGCCCACCATAGCACATCCTGTTTGTGCGTCTTGTTGGACTATGGTGAGACAAACTCAGGAACAAAAGGACCTTTGCTCCGTGCAGAAGACTTGTCTCAGTCTTAAATCTCGTGGATTTTAAACAGTGGAGGGCGCATTGTCAATGGCTTGGTTTAAAAAAAAAAAAAAAACAGCTGCTACTGTACCTGCTTCGCTTTGTGAAATTAGGACCTACAGTTTTTATCTTAATTAGCTTTTTTGTCTTTACTTTGTGTGTCATATTTCCTGTAGTGTTTTTGTGCTGGTTTGTGTTGAATCTCATGTAAATCTGTGTGTCCGATGCTCAGTGGGTGGCTTTGTTTCAGCAGCAGTGTAAAAGAAAGTCTAATGTACACATCTATACTTCTCTAACTCCTTTTCTTAAACATTCTCAAGATGCTATTGTCCCCTTTGTTTCTGAAGCTTCGTTTTGTCCGAGCTGAACTCCTCTCCAGCTGCTGGATCTCAGCTGACTAAGCCTTAGTATGAGTTATATTACCAAAGGAAATTAAAAGTAATAAGCATTTTGGTCCCTAATCATGTAAGTGTCTTTAGGCAATATTGGTCTGTCCAACACTCAAACATTCCCATCAGCCGTAGCTGTACTTCCTGTGCCAACTGATTGTTCATTAGCTAATGTTAGCATGCTTAGACACACAGCAAAAAAGGTACATTTACCTGCTTAGCGTTAGTGTGTTAGCATTATTATTGTTACATTTTTGCGCCAAATGCTGCTTTCAAATGGGGTCGTGTCTAACGTGCAATGGTGGAGGCAATAGTTTTTAGTTGAATTATAAATTAATATATTTTTAGTCATAAAAGCCGATATGTCTTGTTGTTGAGATTCGTAAAAGCCTCATATTTTTTTTTTTTGAGTCCTTTTCATGTCCTGCATTGTCACCTGCTCGCTAGTTTGCTAAATTGTGAACCTCAGTGGCTTCTAGACGCAGACAGTTTTGTTAATCTTCCTGCTTTAATGCCAACATATTGTGTACAAACTCCCTTATGACTTCCATCTGAAGGCAGCATTGTTAGCTACACAGAGCACATGGTAGCATGGTCTTCAAACTAAACAGCTTGACCCACCGACAACAGCTGAATTCCTCCCTTTTATACAAAACGTTAAGGTTATTTTCATAAATGGACCGCTGGTAGTTCTGTCCATAAACACACCATGGAAGAAATGAGTGCCCCCATCCGTCCATCCATTAAACCTCTCTTCTCTATTGCCGCCAAGAAACGATTGCCCGCCCCTCCCTCCTTCCTTCAGCCACTGTGACAGACTCATCTGCCATACATCTGTTAGAAAAGGGATTTAGTTCCGCTTAAGTTACTTTCGCCCGTTCAGGGGGGCCCCCTTACAGCAAAGCGCTTCACTCCAATTTAAGCTCCAGCCGATGACAAATGCTTGTTTTTCTCTGCGCAGTGTCTGGACAGCTGTGGCTGGTGCGTGTTCGGGACACATTTAGGATTGATTATGTGTACTTTATCCAAAGCTAGCTCATGGGCAGTGAAGCAGACTGAAGTTTTGAACTTGGGTCTCTCGCCACAGTCATTATTCTTAAAGACTTCCTGTCTGTCCCAGGACACATGCACGAAGTTCCTCTTGCTTTTGAGCATCGATAAACACCTTTCATTCTTGTTTTGGGAGCAGGCATTAAACTGAGATATTTGCTTGATTTTGATTTGCAAAAATGCAGCAAAGCCATTGTAGCTATAGCTGGGCTTAACAGAGTATTTGTGTTACTAATTCTTTGTTTTATGTACTGTATTTGTTTTATGTATTATACTTAAAATGGTGGAATAAAAAGGATAAGCAAATATGGCTTTTATTATTAAGCACGGGGCATATAGACGTTTCAATCCTGATTATAGCTGCACTTATTGACTATTTTAGCTGATCCCCTGTTGATGTCCAACTGCTTTATGAAAATACAGCTGGATGCACCAATCCCAATTATCACACATCTGTCTCCACTTTTATAAAACTAAAAAAGACAACTTTAGTGTTAGCGCTGCCAATCCCTTCTTCTCATTTCAGTTTCTAAAGTGCTGGTTATTTTCGTCACTGTGTTTGATGAACAACAACTGACCAACTTTTTATAGATGAAAGTGTTTTGCTTCTTAGATTAAATGAAGAGAACAGACACAAAGACAGTAGACATCTTGTCATGTATTGTAGTTTCTTTTTGAGGTCATATGGAGTTGATAAAGGCAATGTTTGGAAGTACATTTACAATAAGTACTGCATTAATGTACACTTGTGAGGTACATGTACTGTATTAAAGTTGTAAAAGTATCCAATATTTTACAAAATAATCCAAACTAAATGCTTCTCCTTTCCTATATTCCTATGTTGAAAAGCAATGTATTTTTCGTTATCATTAATACTAAGTTCTGTACAGTATTATCAATCTAATAATGTTCATATGATGATAAATCAGTGACATGGGAAGTCAATTTAGCGATTAACTTCATCCTAGATATTAACGCTTTATATTTGACCTTATTTAACACCGTGGTACTGCTTGTTTTACTGAGCTTTTTTTTCACTACTTTTGCATAATAATGACAAGTTGTGGGTTATTTGTGCAGGTCAGGAGGGTCTCCCACCGGTTGCAATGTAAATATAATCCCCCCCTGCCTGTTTACCTCTCTTCTTTTCCTCCACCAGGGGGCAGTGAAGCCTCTCTTTGTGTTTCAGACGCTTCTCAACTTCTGCAGGCTGAACGCTGAGATGTCCTATGAGTTGTGCGTCTATTCAGAACATCCAGAAATGTTTATTGTGAGTGCGGGGGAGGGCGAGCTGTGCCTCTGCTCTATGTAAACAGACGTGTGACCTACAGATGCCAACACCAATATCAACAAAACAAGTGCACGGTCACTGAAACTCAAATCCTCCTGGGTCTTTTTGGATGACTTAATGCCCCTTTTTTTGTCATCATGGTGCAGCATAGCCTACTTTAAAATCGAAGTGTTTATAATATTTGAATGTATATATATAATGTAAATTCGGGATTTCAGCACCTATACTTAATTAATTAGAATAATTCCAAAACACATATTGATATTTATGTGCAGAAATGACATATTTTGATCATGACGCAGCTTCAAAAAATAAATTAAAATTGCTTTTCAATTCTCATAATGCAATTGTGTCCCAGGTACTGTATGCACGGTTATGAGTCACACATGACCCCCCCCCCCACCCCGCCCCCCAGCAGCTTCAGACACCATCACCCAGACTCTGGAGCCCACAGAGGGAGGAGGGCGCTGCTGGATCCCGTCCATTCCGCTCCTCCGCTGGACTGATCAGATTGATTGATCGCCGGGCGCGTCCCGGAGGAAACCCTGCGCGCGGAGGATTTGGAGGGCTGGAGAGAGGGTTAGGGGGGGGGGGGAGAGACCGCTGTGTGGTCGCAGATTACACGCAGGAGAAAGTGTGTGGGCGGATGAGGAAGTTCAGAGCACGGATTGATGGTCACACACCTACTGTACGGGCACAGCAGCAGCAGCAGCGCCGGGATCTCCGTCCACCCGTTTCTGTGTTAGAGGGGATCCGCGCCTGGGAAAATGACAATCAAGTTTGGGCTCATCCTCTTCATACTTGTCGCTCAGGGTGCTCGGTGAGTCGGATTTTACATGTGCATGATCAACAGGAAGCTTTAAAAGTTCATGGCATGATGGCAATTACGCATTTCTCAGTGTAAATGAGTGTGGATAATCATATTTTATTCTAAGGGCTTTCCCCGCACACACACACCGCTGTGCCCCAAATACACAGTCTGATTCATTTTAAACTCAAATTAAAGGCAGTGTTCATCATTGCTGCTGCGACAAAGTTTTTTTTTTAGTGACATAATTTATAGGTTACTAACGACCCCCACCGGCACCTCTTGTTTTTCACCCCCTTTAGTTGTGATCTACTGGAATATGGCGACGACGATGAAGATCCTAACGATACCACTGTCACTCAAATGCTGGTGCCCAGGTCGCACCAGGAGGATGCCACACTTATTCTCAACAATTTGCTCAAGGATTATGACAAGACGCTGCGGCCGGATATTGGAGGTGAGGCTGGATCTTATTACAGACTTTAAAGCTCGTGGGAAAAGGATTTAAAGAAACTTCAGTGTGAGGGGCGCTGTCCAACGAGCTGGTTGTTATTGGCTGGGAGCTGTCCATGGTGCTGAAACCAGTGAAGCTGCAACACTGGTTCGGGGTCTGTCCCCATTTAAAGGCTGTTTAAAGTCTCTTATGTTGCTTGTTCTAGATCTTCATTGAAGCTTTAAGTGGAATATATATACCCAAGGCTTCATACGGCTGTATCATACCATCAAATGGGGATTTTTTGCTTGTCTTGTCAATCATTTTATGCACATTTTATTTAAACACAGGCGGCCATATGTGGTATGTTTGGACACTTTGGGATGTCTCCTTGGATTTAGAAGTTCTGTACGTTTTTCGGCAATGATTGCTTGCACAGCATGAGTTTATATTGATGACCCCAGGCAATCAGTTTGTTGGCAGGTGGTGTCAGTTTGGGATTATACAGAAACTATGACTCCACCTGACTAATATTTTAAGTATCAAATCATCTGCTGATTATTTTCTTGATTTTCTTTGTCAAAAATATGTTTTCCAAATTCCAAGGACAAACATAATAGGCTTAAATAAAAAAGAATTGCAAAGAAAGACAGCAAATCCTCACATTTAAGAAATGGACCAAAGCATATTGGCAGGAAACAGGTTCAAAACCAGGGTTACATACTTAGAAAAAGAGGATAAAAGCATTATAATACGACAAATTCGGGCACAACTGGTCATCAAATAAGAACAAGGAAGCATCTATTGAAGTCCTTGGAGAATATGTAGGTTTTTGGACATTTAAAACCCTCTACAGACTTTGTTGATATGCTTGTTTACCTCGAGTCCTGAACTGAGAGTGACTTGTTGGATCTGTCGGACATCATCAAGTCAAAGATACATGGTGACTCCAAATGTGAATCACTGCCTAATTAGGTATTAAAATGTGTCTAAATTCAAAAGTGAATGAAGCCAGGGCTAGGGAAACGGGGTATAAATGATCCTGCAGAAGAATTTTGAACAGATGTAGAGTTGCAATGGCATCTAGAAGAATTCAAATGCATTGTAACAGCCAATCAAAACAGACAAAATGGTGGACATTTTGAACAAGCTGTTGCAGAGATAACAGGGGAAGCATTTTGGCAATTTTCTGACTGATTGACTGACTTGAGATGCTTCTGAAAGTTCAAATAGGAAGCACACGAAACCATAAAGTAGGTTTCTGGAAGGAAACACTTTGAGCTAGGATCTAAATCATTCAAGTTTAGTAAAGTATGAAACATCCATCAATGGACAAGTTTGTAAGAGGACAAATGTTCCAAAGAAATGCTTAAAAAGTGATCATAAGGTCCAGGGTTATAGACATGTTGACTGACTGCACGTCCAAAAAAAACACATGCATCCTAATAAGAGCTTTTCATATTAGCTCTTTGAAAGTAGACATTTCTAAATGACACAGTTTTCATTGATCTTTCACATTTGTCTCCGTCTTGTACTAGTTTTTACCCATCAAGGAAAATATAGTGGTGGATATTCTTCTCTCTCAAACCCCTCCTGGCGATTGCAGGTTGGTCGTATTGAACAGCGGTGTGAGAGAGGTTCAGGGAGGCAGCTAGAGTCCAAATCATTCTCTGATTGCACTCATACCGTTCGTACTTTGCAATCAAAACTGCCGAGGCTCTGCGAGGAGGTCTGTTCCTCTTCGGGGAGGCCGGACGCTAATCAAATGGTTACTGGTTAGATCCCCAGAGTGTTCTGACTGGAGGGCCCGTTTATTGTTACTGCTGCAGAAATCAACCAGTCTTTATCTATCTATCCATATCAGAATGAAAGCTCTAAATGTTGGACAGCCTTGGGATAAAGATAATATTGGCTTTAATTCAATGTACTTCTGACTATTATTTATTTCCCCTGCATTTGGAATTTTGCATATTTACAATCAGCAATGAGCTCTTATTACTCCTAATACTAATATTAGGAATAGTTTGATACTACTATTTTGGGGTGGCTCTCTTCATTTTGAAATAATGACTGTTTGTGACTTCACTTTTTTAGATGTTATACTTGTTGTTTTATGTCCTGAAGCTCCTGCAGTGACATTTTTCTCACTTCTTATTACCTAAATGCTGGCGTATACATATGTATATATTCTGTATATTGTGTTTTTACTGAATGAGTAGGGGTTTAAATACACTAGCCTACATTCAAAATGTCACACCTAAATAACGACAAAGTTGATTGAAAAACGGTTGTCATCAAATAATATTGAATCCCCACTCATACTAGCAAAACAAACAAACAAATATATATATATATGTGCTGCTTATTTTGTTGAATTGTTTTTCCCTATTAAATCCATGTAGCTCAATCCACGAGGTACAGAAGACAAGTGCGCATGCGCGGCTGCCCGTAACTGTATGCAGAGTTGATCAGGTGACCCCTCTTTTGATTGGACAGTCAGAGCAGGTGCGCCAGCGAGAGACACGTGTGTTTGTTTGCTAGAGCTAGCAAAGTTAGCTAACAGTTGCACTTTAGTGAAATAAAACGACTTTCCTCAAAGATTTTGACAACGAGCGAAGGTGAAGGTGGACTTTGGCGCACGAAAATACCGCAATTTCACGAAGTAAGTGGCGATAATATTTCTGCAGAACCCCACCTGTCGGAGGCCATGATTGAGAACATTAACGCTAATGTAACATTTGTTTTTAAGGCCGTAAGGAGGAGGGGCTTTTCCGGGCTGTGTTGTGTTGCCTGTCCCTTCACTTTGTGCTTCTTCTGTAAGCGGTGAGTACCATTGAGTTTAATTGAGCGTCACTTAAGGAAGTAGTTGTTTGGACAGTTTGGACAGTGTGTGTGGAGCCATAATTTGTCTATATGCTGTCCATTGGGAGTGCCAAACAGCAGTGTGTGCAGCTCATTTAGCAGCTTGTCACTGCTGCTTTCCTGTTACTACTAGTGATGGTAGTCTTGCTGTGTTTTGGCTTCAGGGTGGCTCCAGATGTTGTGAACATCCGGGGATTCTGCCTAAACATAGGGGGCTCCAGGGGAATGCTCCCCCGCGGGGACATTTTTGCCCCAATTTAGGGCAGCCTTATCCACTTATTCAGATGATAAAAGGACTCAACATCGGTCCATAATTTGGGATAAACTTCGTATTTACCACAGGAAGATTGTTGCAACCATAACACAGCAAATGTTGAGGATTTTCCCTCCAGCTTGAAGAGGAAAAAAATGACCTTTTAATGAAAACATGTTAAGATGTATAACGTGAGCATGTTAGGAATTTGCAGTACATACTGTAGTACAAGTTGTCTTTATGTTTCAATACATGCAGGTTTAAATATACCAAACAACCAAACACACATCAATATATTGTGTTGGGAAACTGCCATAGTATAAAGAATGACACCAATGCGTACAATCGGCTTAAAATATATGTATTTCATACAATTAGATAAGTAGGATCTGCACTTTGCGATACTCTTACCTCCTCAATATTTCATGTTTTATCTAAGTATAGCCCCATGAGTATCTCTAGTCTTCAGTAAGACGAGTTGAAGTTTTAGATTTAAAATGAGTCAAAATACAGAAGCGTTATGAGCTCAAATGTTCTAAAAGGTTTTTCTTTTGCAGAGAAGTGACGTGAAGTAGCATTTTGCTCTTGTGCTAAAGTCAGAGCTGGCACTATATTTTTTTTATTACATTTGGGGAAGTCAGAGATGATAAATAGGAGAGTAAAGAAAAAATATCAACCTCTTGCTTCACCAATTTGAATTCTTTTGTTGGACTTTTTCAATACTTTTTTGACAGTTTTTTTGTAAAGTCTTTGATTCTTTTACCTCTTTAGGCCTCAAACGCACACATTCCACTTACAAACAAACATTTAAAGCCCCATTTCTACTCTGTTTAGAAAGCTTGGTCTCTCAGCTCTGGAATATTTGGGTTTGAAGTGATTTCCCTCTTAATGAAGAATATTCTGAAGATACCACCTTCGAGCCTGAAAGACTTGGTCATGGCTTCAGTTTTAGTGGATTTGAGCTTGAGATGGACTTTGAGAAGACTTAGTGGGAATACTTATCTCCAGATCATTAAAGGTGGGGTAGGTAATTTTGGAGAAACCAGCTCGAGTGCGCTAGAATTTGAAAATACACAGCCGGAAAAAATCTGCCACTTCCTTACAGAGCCCCTCCTCCAACACACACGAACGCGCACATGACCAATGAGGGCACGAGATAAGTTTGTGCACAGATGGAAGGCTGACAGGCAGGTAGGCCATCCAGTTATTTTAGCCGGGCCGGCTCAGATGATTGGTCGTGCTTTTTACAGTACTACGGCTTCCACAGATGAAATTCTTTTTATGGATTTTTTGTCAAAGCACTTCAGATATTCATTGCTATCGGGATGTTAAGAGCATTCCATGGAATATAACAACAAGTGTATCTCGAGCCGGTTTCTCAAATGTACCTACCTCACCTTTAACAGCCCGTCCACACAGCGGCTTTGGAAAAAGCTTGCAGGTGGGCGTGTCTGAAGCTCGACCAACAACCAATCACATGAATCTCCCGCCCCTGACACACACGCAGCGGTTTGATTGGCTAGAGCTTGTACTGGCATATGATTTGATTGGCTGACGCTTCCACCAAAAGTTGAACATTGCTCAACCTTTGCAGCCTGAAACGCCAGGAAAGCTCCGCTCTGCTTCCCACAATGCAGTTCGGCGAAAAGTGACGTCACCCCATTCAAAGTGAATGGGCAGAATCGTTGGAAGAAGCTTCCAAAGCCGCTGTGTGCACGGGCCGTAAGAGTGTGTATTTGCGTTATAGGTTATTTAAGACGACCAAGCATCCAGCGTTCACAGGCAATAAGCTGCTGGTGGGAATAGATTTTCTTTCACCTCCGCCCGCGGCTTCCTCTGCTCGCTTCAGTCGGGAAGCGGAGGGGGATCTCCCTCCAGCTCTGAATCCATAATTAAGGATGAAATTTTG